GTGTCCTTGCGGCCGCGTCATGCATCGGTATTAAATGGACGAAATATGTGTTCGGTTGTTGAAAGTGGGGCGAATCACTTCCGATGCGTATTTATACTCTACTGACGACTGAGGATTCCTGTCGTCTGGCATTTGTTTGGTTGGTTTCCCTAACACTTACCTCTTCTTACCCAGTTTGAAGAGAAGGGCTTTTTAAAACAAATTCACTGCTGTTCCGCGTGCATATAAGCCTTTAGCCATCGGCTGTGTAACATAAAGGAACTAGGAAATAACTAGTGAAATGTAGATTGGTCAGTCAGCTGGCCGTCATTATGCCGTGCTTGCGGACAACGGATGCTTCTCACGATTAAGTTTCATCCTCGCAATTTCCATGCTTTCACGAGGAACCGCAATCGGTTTAAGTTTAAACGACACGCTTGTTAAGATAATTGTCGACAGTCGCTTTTTACGACTTCACAAGAAACGGACTCTAACAGCCTTCCTACAGTAATTGCTCACAACAACCTTATCGCTGCATAAGAAGGCTTATTCAGTGAACCAGCAGCCCCAAGGATATGCATCATCACAGACTGCTGTTCCCCCTCGCCGAAATTAAAAGGCCTACCTGAAGTCACTCGCACACACGCAAGCACGCGCGTACCCAACTACTCGCAGTCTCTCCATGGCCACTTCAACGCGCCACTTCAACCGAGCCTCAGTACTCGACACCCCCCTCGGGCAAATGCAACACCAATTACACCCCCACTTGAACTCGCTTCACAGTCCTGTAAACCAAGCTGCCACTATCATAACACTCAGTCATCACTCTCGGGCACGACTGGACACAGTCAACACCAACTCTGGCTTTGCCAGTGGCCACTGCTGCCTGAGAAATTAACACCGGGTTCTGTGCACAATAAAACCCTCACTCTCGCGACTTTTGATTTTTACCTTCACCAGGAATCTGACCTGAAGATTCTAGTGCTCTAAGCACAATCCCTACTTAAAGCGTCACATGCTATCGAACTTGAGAATGGATAAACGGGCCACGCGGTGGAGGCGCTGGACCAACAGGGGGCTATATCAGGGCATGGCAGACGCTGATGGGGATGCACACCCATAAGAAATTCCGCACATGGGAGTGTGGTGACACACCTAAGTGTCGATTAGCGTTTCGCCAGCCATCTGCACACCTCCCTCCCGTTTCCAGTCTTCTTGGTTTGGTTATGACGCTGGGCCCGGGTCAGAAAATCAGAGAGGGTGTAATGGTACACTACCACTATAAACTAATCCACGCGCAAATAATCGCCCCTGCGCCGACACTGCTATGGGGCATATGGTGGACATCGTCGGAAACGACGGTCGAACGGTCGGCTAATTTATTTTTGACGGTGGCGGTGGTATATGTAAAATACGCTAATAGACTATATACTACCAGAGTATTATGATGCCGCATCGAAGATAAAAACTCAAGAAAGAACCGCCTTTCCCGGGCGACGACGATCGCGTAAAACAGTCCCTCGGGATGCCATATTCACGTGGCTAACGCGGCCTACTGAATTAAATTCTCGCGCGGGGCAACAGGGACAACCCTAATAGCAATGTTCCGGAACCAAAGGTTAAAGTGGTTCCAGTGGAACC